ACACACTAGGCAATCACTAGGCAATGACCAGTAAAGAAAGTTAAGTTTCTGGTCCTAAACTCCAATGCAGAACTCTCACCTACTAGAAAGGCATTAGTGGTAACACCATTTCCCTGTGGTAAAGATGACCTAAAACCAATGCAGGGGGAAATCTGGGGAGGAAAAACTAATCCAAAGTAAAGTCAGCAAGCAACAGGGGAACAGAGGTAATTCAGGTCTCTTGCCTCAGTCCTGACCGCCAAACAGAAGGAAGTGTATCCCAAAGGGAAAGATGACCAGGGCCTTTTACTACTCTGCCTCATAAAAGAAACAAAACATCATTGTGTCATTCTCTAAAAAGCAAAGTGATTCCACCCTAGAAAACAAAGCCCAGAATATAGTACTCCTCTAATTTGAGGGAAGTAGACAATGCTTTGACCCTGACCCAGTTTTAGAAAGAACTAGGTGGGTGGAGAAAAAAAAGAAGAAAGAAATTGAGAAACACTGTGCTCCCCCCAACTGGTCACTATTCACAAAGGTTAAAATAAAGCACACGATTTCAACCAAAAGGACTCGTCTCTCTGACCACAGGCCAATCTGCTTCTCAGCTTTCTTCATCTCTACCTGTAGCTGACCACAGATAGAGACCTGAACAAGTCAGTAATGGTTAAAAAACAAAAACTCTGCTAATAGTGAATTTACAAAGACCAAAAATTAAAATTTTAAAAAGCGTACTTTAGATTTTGATATAAAATGATAGTGCTAGGAACAGAATAACCAGGTAACTTTCTATATCATACCTAGCATATTATGGGAGTTGGTTAAATTCTAATGATGAAGTGGTAATGGGTACTGATGAAGAAACTTGGAATACAGAACTGTGAAGCCAGAATGAATCTTAGAAACTGTACAATTCACCCTAGGCCTTCCCCGCTTCTCTTCCCAGGGTCTTCTGGGGTGCTCCATTTCCACAGCTCTGATTCTTATTCCAGTCACCTCCCCATTTCTCTACAATCCTTCACAGCCAAATTCATCAAAAGAGTTGTCTCCACTTTCTCATCTCCAGTAACTATCCAACCCCATCAACTCACCAAAACCTCTCCTGTACGGATTACCGATGATCTTCACAGGGCCAAACGCAACGGACACTTCACTGTCCTCATCTTACATGACTTTTGCAACAGACAGCTACTGTTTTTGATCGTGCCACATTCATTCGTCTGTTTGGGTGATGGGATCCACATTTTGTTGGGGATCTACCCCTCCCCCATTGATTACATTCTGGGCAACTGTAAATTAAGGTGTTCTTTTCTACCCTGGCCAATTGTTGGACACTTGACCCATGTTGAACAAATCAGACACTTTCCCTCAGAATGTGAATCCTAAAAGAACTAAAGACTGAAAACTGCTGCAGCAGCCCATTCATTCCAGTAATGCAGTCGGCAGTCTCCCCTGGGGCTGCTCATGTTCCTGTTCTTTGTACAGCCAGGGCCTTCAGCTTTTCCTTTGGTCCTGAGCTGCCCACATCCTTGTTATAAATTCCTCTTCTCCTGAAGTAAACTGGTCACGTTGCAACCAAACAGCCATAACTGGTCATCTCTCTCAGAAGTACGGCCTCTGTCCTCAAACTCTCCTCTTTGCTTCCAAAGTACATGTTCCTTATTTCACTCCTACCTTCTGGCCATTTCTCCAGTCTCCTTTGGTAACTGCCATACTCCTCCTCCACTCAGCCTCTAAATATTAATGTTCCTCAGTATAGTATTCAGGCCCTCTTTTCTTGCTACACTCTCTCTCTAGTGTAAACTCATCCAGTCCCATGGCTTTAAGTGATACAGTCTCCAAATCTTTTATCTGTAGCCTAGATATCTCCTCTGAGCTACAGACTTGTATATACAGTTTGTTTACTTAACATCTATAACATTTTAACTTGCTATCTCAACTTTAACATGTCCAAAATGAATTCTCTCCCAAGCCTGTTTCCCATCATTCTCTGCCAGCCCCTCTCATGACAACCTTCTACTCAAGGACCACCATTTACCCCATTTAGGAGTAATTTTTATTACTTTCTTTCCTTTGCTCCCAATATTCAATCCAGTTCCAAGTCCTATTGACTCAATCTCTAAAAGAGGAAATACATAAGCCCACCTACTTCTTTCTATACTGCCATCACCCTACTCCAGGCCACCATAAACTCTTGCCCTAAAACTATTAACTTGGTCTCCGATTGTACTATTGCCACCCTCCACTCTATTCTTTTCACAGCAGTAAGTATCCTCTTAAAATGTGAATCCTATCACTCCCCTACTTGAAGCTCTTCTCTAGGCTTTCCAATGCATCTAGACAAAATCCAAACTCCTTATCCCAGCCTCTAAGAACCTATGTGAGCCATTCCTGCCTCTCCAACCGCACTCTGGAATCACCCTCCTTTACTTGCTCACCAAGCTCCAGCCAGATGAATCTCCCTTAGTTCCTTGAACACATTAAGCTTTTCCCTATATTAGGGATTTGCACATTATATTTCCTCTATCTAGGAATGCTTTCAGTTTTCCATCGGTTAGCTGTTTTTGGGGATTTTTTTTTTTAATTCTTCAGAGCTCAGTTTAGCTATTAACTCATTTAGAAAGGCTTTCCCTGACACCTTATCCAAAGAAGGTTCTCCAGAACCACACCTGTATCTTCTATCTCTGCTCTCTCTATTGTAGCACTTAATCACAATATCTAATTCTTTCATTCGTTTTTACATAGTATTCATTTTTGTCTGGATATCCCTGAAATTGTAAACTCCATAAACAAGGGCAAGAACTAGTCTTATTCACTACAATATCTCCCAGCACCTAGCACAGTGCCTGGCACATTACTGCATGCAATTCATAAGGAATTTAGGTCTCCAAGAGTCATTTCTGATACTGTGAAGCGCTAAGGTTGTCTTTACTATGAGCGTAAAGGGCTTTCATGCAAGCTTCCCTGTAAGCACCTAGTAAGACACTGAATAAATATTTGTGTAATGAATGAATGACATTGCAAATGGCACCCAAATTTTTGTCTCTATTCCTGACCTCTATTCTGAACTCCAAACTTTCATTTCTAACTGCTTGCTAGTACCTCCACATGGATATCCAACAGCATCTCAAACCTAACAAATGTTCAAAATTCAGATTATCATCTCCCCTACCAAACCTGTTCTTCCTGTATTCCATCTCAGTTATTGCCCAATCTTCCTCCCACTCAGCTGCAAATTCTAGGTCTTTTACAATCTCTCTCATCCTCCATATTTAAATAATCCCAGTGGTTCAGAGTCCCCCCAGATTTATTCCTATTGTAATGCCCTATTTAGGTCTCTCATTATCTTTCAACTACACTATTAAAATAGGCTTCTAATTGGCCACCCTGCTCTTAAAATTCCCCTTTTCAATGCATCTTTTACACAACCACTCTAGTTATCTTTCCAAAACACAGAAATGCTTATATTACTCCCCTTACTCAAAGTTCAGGGCCTCAGAATACTAATCAAGTCTCTAAGCATGGCATTTCAAATATTCTACATAGCCTCAAGTACTGTTACAGTTGTAACACCCACTACCCACTACAGTCCTCAGTGAACTCTACTCCAGCCCACACCGGACTGGCTATTAAGTGAACACACCAACCTGTGTCAGTGCTCAAGATCTTCATTTGGGATAGTTCCTCAACCAGTAATAAATACCCCCAATCCAGTCCTGATCTTGTAAAATTGTTGCCAGCTTTTAAAATCCAACTCGAGTGCCATTCTTCTTCATGAAGGCTCTCTGATCTTGTCTGCTCCAATCAGAACCAATCTGTCCTACCTTGGGGTTTTCACAACACACACTTTAACCTCTCTTTAGCAATTATTTCATCCTCCTTTGGTTGTTAGTTGTCTACATGCAAATTTTTCTCATTGGTTACGTTTGCTGAGTTTATTCACCTTTCTTCCATTAACCTAGTCCTAACACGATGCTGTGCACAAACGAAGCATTCAGGAAATACTTACTGAGTAAATAGGTAAACCCCTTAGTTTACAGATGGGGTGGAGCCAAAAGCTAGGGATTAAGTAACTTGTCAAAAATTAGGCATCTGCTTAGATGCAAGACTTTAAAAACTAGAACCCAAATCTTCTGACTGCTAGTTTAATGGACTATACTCTGTTCACACTAAGATAACACAAAGCGGAATTTCCTCTTCCCTAATAACAAAATGTCCTGACTTTATTTTTTTTGCTTGTTGCTGGTTTGTTTTTTTTTGTTTGTTTTTTTCAAATATGCTGTGTTGCCCCTCTGCCAAAGTGAGGAAGAAGTACAAATTCTTAGGTCCCGAGTTAATAATATTTAACTTCCAAATAGCAATTCAATGCATTTCAGAGCCTCGTGAGCGAGATCAACTTTAATAAACTAACTGGATTCTTTTCTCTGAAGAAACTTCAGAGGATAAATTCAACCTGAGAGATGCATACAGGCTGTAAACACTCACAGCCCACACCCAGCCCTGAAATGTCAGGCGAAGGAGAAACCGACAGCCAGCCCCTCAGTTGGCAGCCTTTCTTCTAGACCCAAAAAGTAAGTGGTCGTACGAAAGAAGAGGGTAGCTCTGGGATGAAATATCCAAGGCGGGCTCCCCTTGGCATCCTCCCCCCCATTACAACAACCTCCGCGTAAGGCCTCGAGGTCCGCGGCCAGGCCCCGGCTGAGGCTGCAGTCTGGGAGCCCCCGCTCTGGGGACTCGCGGACGCCGGCTTTCTCAGCACGGTCTGCTCCCATGCTCCGGCCCCAAAACCAAGCAGAGGAGCCGAAACATCGGCCCCAAAACCCCGCGAAGGGAAGGGTCGAAACCGTGGGGCTTCAGACCAGCCGCTCCCGGGCCCTCCAGATCCCGGAGGGGTACCCAAGAGGGGTGGTTTTCCTATCCTCTCCGGGGGCGAACCCGGCCCGAGCCCCGGGAGAGCCGATCGTGGCTTCCACCCCCTCCGGTACCACTCAGGCTCTGGCCTGGACCGCCCCGAAGCTCACCTTCCAGTCCAGGGCAGCCGTCCGTGCGCCGGTCCCGAATTCCGTCCACACATAGCGTCTTCCGGCTCCCGCCGGAAGCAGCTCCAGAGCGGGACAGGAAGTTGGGCCAACCCCCCACGCGCACACCCTCTTTTTCGCTTCCAGGTGGGGCGGGGGCCGCCCTGTGCGGGGTTCCGCCCCCAGGGGTGGCCGGCCCGGTTGGACTTGGGGCACAGAATTCCGCCCCGGGATGGAAAGAGCTGTCATCGCCCGCCACCCACTCATTCTCTCTCACCTTCGAGGCTGCTGGGTCTGCAAAGCCGGAAAAACAGGGTCAGTGAAGTCTAGCCGTGACGTCACTGCTTCCCTGCAGCAGCTGATGGGGTCGTTTTTCCTGTCAGCTGAGATCAGTATTAGTTACAATGGAGGCGAGCGAGAAAGAAAAGATCGCTACTTAAACATTGATCAGAGTTCTCAGTGAAGAGGACCTCGAAGTTTCACTGCCCGAGAAGGGAACTTGCAGAATCTAATTCTGCATTGTATACGGGACGGGGTAAGAACTGAGACTCCTGTAGAACTTTTTTAGGGGGAGGGTGGGGGAAAGG